CAGAATGTTGACGGAAATATCGCCGCGATCTTAAACATTCAAGACAAAAATGGTGACACGGCCTTGAATATTGCCGCACGTGTTGGAAATAGCCAGTTAGTTCGTCAATTGATGGAAATGGGGGCTAGCAAACAGATAGAGAATAAGATAGGATTGAAAGCAATAGATTTTGATCCTACAGAGCGCATAGAGTTTGAAGACATAAACGTAAGTTTGGTGACTTACTAACCACAATCATTATAAGCGTTTTCCCTATTTTTATTCCTAATTCTTTTGACAGGATGGTAGATTAGATACATCCACAGACTTTTACAATCAACCAATTACATCGAGTTTTGTCAATCCTCGTAGAAAATCCAGAGATATCGCATTAGGCAAGCATTCGTTTCATTTTTCTGCGTTGACACCAAAACTGGATCAAGGAATCTAATTTTTCGATCTTGGTATGTACAGGCATTCAGAAGCTGATCGACGATGCAGAAACAGAATGGATCGAACAGTTAAGATTAAAAGATGAGCAACTCATAGAGACGCGACGGCAGTGTAATGCTACTTCAAGGCAACTTACCGAAGCAAAACACGCCGTTAACTTTTACAAAAAGCAAGAAAAAGAGATCAACGAAACCGAAGAGTACATCGAATTTCTCGAGAAAGTTTTAGCTGCCGAAAGTCGAGAGGACTCTTTTGTCCCACATAAACGTCAGAAAATTGAACATTCAAATGGAGAAACGTCCGCGTTGGATGTTCTTTCAACTGTTTCAACCTCCATCCCCACATCAATAACAGGCTTGCGTCAGTCGGATACTAACGCGTCAGATCTGTCATCCATAATACGGATACCGCAGGATCCCTCGTTGGCGTCGCCGACAAATAATTTCGGGATCTCGGTTACCACCACAGGACCGCCAATATCTTCAATTGCACAAAATAATAGTAGTCTGGTGACGCCCCAACCGCCTGCTCCCCCAGCTTCGCTTCCTCCAATGTCTAATGCAATACCTCCATCATCATCGGCACCGCCAAACACGTCTTCAATAAACGCAACATTTTCATCATCCCAGAGAACATTCGTAAACTCTTTTAATTCACAACCCACGGTAGACAAACCTCCAACAATAACAATATCTCCTCCACCCACCGAACAACCTCAGTCATCTCTTGCTTCCCAGCCTATATTTGTAACGTCACCTTCCATGATGCCATATAATGATGCCGTAGTTCCCGAAAAGTCGGCATCTGAGAAGTTGATTGAAAATGAAATCAGAAACCTCATAGCACAAATAAATGCATATGCCGCGGACGAAACTTTGCTTCGACAGGAAATTGATTCCTTAAGAGAAAAGTCGATGGATTCAATGATGAAATATAAGAGGCTTATAGCTTCTATTTGTAAAATTGATTTGGACAAGGTGGATGACTATGTTGAAACAATATTATCCAACGATGCAGTGGATTTCGATGAGCCACGGATCAAGGATTTGATGAACAGAGTGCGTAATGAAGAAGAAATGGAAGACTGTCTTTTCTAATCACGCAATGAAGGAAACACCCTTTTCCATATAAATTCTTTTTTAATCTTTTTTATAAAATTCAACGTATAATGAAACATTAAATTCATACTCTTGTATCCTTCATTAATGACTTGCCTGATTATGTTAGATATTATTATTTCCATAGAAGACACAGTATTTGTTGATTAAACGAAACCAATCAAATTCACGAGGATGTATCTAGAAAAAAAAAATCTTTTTCTATCACAAAAAATTTTAATACGAATAATAAATTTGTTAATTAAATTGTGTCGTAATATTATAAATTTAAATTTGGATACGAAATGTCACAAGACAGTTTATTAATCAATTTTGAAAACTGTGTGTATATCAGTTATTAGACTATATAACTTATAATCCATCATTAGAATAAAATTCTTAGATAAGATACATATTAGGAACAATTTATTACGTTAAAATGGTTAGGTAAAATTTTTTTAACACTATAGTTGATAGATCGTTGCTATAATTTTTCTATCAATTGCAAAATTAAATTATACAAGAAAAAGAACCATAAAATATATAAAAAAATTTGATATTGATATTTTTAAAAAGATTTAAGTTCAACTTGATATTAAAAAGAAACTCCATTTCTTTTTTTTAAAAAAATAATCATTTGTTAGACTAGGTATACTGTATATGTTTTATTAAAATATTTGTTTGTTTGTTTTTTTTTTTAACACAAATGAGTAATACATACTAGTTTTTATTAGAAAGTTAATTCATAAACAATTATATAAATAGTTTTTACAAGATTAACTATCAAGTAAATTAATTAATACCTATTGCATAAGTAGACTCTTACAAACTTTGAAAACTTATATAGAGAAAGAGAAAAATAGTAGATAGTGTCTAACTACTAATTTGTTATTGACCGATAAGAGTGCTTGCTAAGGTGAAATAGTGGTATATATGATAATGTAATTAAAAGATTCAAATTTTTGTTATATTGAACCTGGAAATCAGTTTGAGTTGAGATATGGGTAATAAGTCTTTTTTTACTAAGGATCTTGAACCTAATAAGGCATGATCAACTTGCGTCAATCTTTTGGAGAGGATAAGCTAACTATAGTTTTTGATAGAATTTTAGAAGACAGTTAAAACAAAAGGTGATTCCATTATTATTTCTTGTAAGTTGAATAATAGTGGTGTTATCAAGTATTTAGAACAAAAGCTCTTGACTAGTTATTTACTCTCTAACCAACATAAATAGTAGTCTAGGTTCTCAGTAAATAGAATTCTACTTTTGGTGCTATCAACTGAAATTTCTGCTGTTACACTTTTTCTTTATTCAAATGGCTTTATAAATAGTTAATGATTATAAAAAGGTATACCTAGAACTTTGAAAATATGGACTTCCTTATCATAAATTCATCTCTCAATTATAAGAGATTTTATTTTGATTTTTTTCATAAATTAAGCCCACTAACTTAATCAAAACAAAGGCTGGATATATTATAGAATTGATGAAATGGTTTGGTAGAGAAAGAAGTAGGAGGCTTAGGAAGAAAACCTTAAAAAAAGAAAAAGCTATTTATTAACAAGAAGGGTATAAAACAAGGAAGTAAAGATAAATGAAAGAGAAAGAACAGGTGAAAGAAGTTTAAAGAGTTGGGAAAAACTAAGGAAAATAAAGGTATTTTGTCTATAATAACTCAGGCATACACAAAGTCTCATTGTAGGAGTGTTTCACTCTTAAAGAACAGTTTTTTTTATCTCAGACATTTACCATATACAAAGTGCAGATCCACTTGTGCTTCCCTAAATAAAATATTTTTCATGCATTAACAAGTCAGATAACAGAGTCTCATGTGATATCAAAATATCTCAAACTTTGTCTGCTAAATAGTTGTTAGCCTCATATAGAGTAAAGAAGGAGGAAAAAGAAAAAGGAAACCTCTTAAAAAGAAAATTTTCATGAAGTAAGAGGAAATAGGAAAGAGTTTTTTGAGTATAGTTTTTTCTTTATTAAAATATTTATAAACTATCATATATATTTTTATATATAGTTGCTTTTAAAATTTCAAGTTTACTTATTATATTTTTATTATAAAATTCACATATATTATATTTTAATACTAGTTTTATTTATGATATTTTTTTTAAAAAAATTTTCAGATATAAATTTTAAAGTTTTATTATTATTAAAATTTTTTTTCTTTATTAAATTTTTACTTTTGGAGAATTTTGATTGGTTATTATCATAAATTATATAATAATTAATAAAAAAATAAATATATTTAACAACAATAAAACTTTAAAATATATTAATAAAAGATTTTTTAAAAAAATATAATAAATAAAATAAGTATTAATAAATAATATACTGTATGTAACTTTATAATTTTTGATTATATAATTAATGATTTAAAAATTGTTAAAGTTGAAATATATAATAAAAATATAGTAAATAAATTTAAATTTTTGAAAGCAAAAATATAAAGAATTAATTTTTTATTAATTAACATTAATAAATTTTTATAAAGATTTTTAATTTATTAATTAAAAAAATTATTTTGTATATATATTGATATCTTTTATTATTATTATTTTTTTTTTTAATCCTTTGTCAGGCTAGTTATATAGTATATACTTTATTAAATATTTGTAAACTGTACATATAATATGAATTGCTAAAACTAAAAAACACTAACTAGCTCACTCATCTTTATAATTACTACTCTAAGTGAAACTTTGGAAGTGATTTATTGCTCCATTAGGAGTTCAGATGAAAACCTTTCCAACTCTTAATATCATTGCCTGCAGGTCACTACTGTAAATCACTCTTTAAGTTCTGACATTATTCAAAACCCAACCATCACATCTCAAATCTAATCCCTTTTAATAAGATATCTTTTAAGTCTTTATCTTCTAATCTTTCTTCCTCCAATATTGGAGTTTTTCTTTCTAGTCATATAGTTTTAACACCTGAAAGATTAGGGGTCTTTTTATCATATTCTTTTTTTGAATTTCTTGCAATCTTTTCCATTATATTATCCTTTCACATCTTACATTTCAAATATTTTTACAGAACTGGTTACAAGTCATATTTTGCAGCTTCTTAATCTATATTCTTGCTTTTTTTCTTATTCTTTTATCATGGCATTTAAGGTCTATCATCTCAAGAATAAGTTCGCTTCTTATTAATCCTGCAAAGAAACCTAGTATATTTTAACTAGTTGCTGAGAACTGTTCTACTAGCCTAGATATCCACTTGTGTACTTTATCCATTTCTTTACTATCATTCACTATTAATCTAGTATTATTTTTTTTGTTTCCTTTTTCCTTTCTTGTGAAAGTTTTCTAAAATTCTTCAGAACTTCTTCAAGATCTTTATTTCATATTTTCTTCATTTGTTTCTTATATGTTAAACATTCTAACAAGTGATTAATTGTTTCTTTCTCTTGAAGATCACATGCAGTACATTTCACTTGCTTGTATAGGTCTGGCCTTCTTATCATCAGTTTACTCAATGTTGGTAGCTCGTCATTCATTAGCTTGATTAGAAAGCTATTTCTTTGACAATCTTTGAAAGATGTATCCCACGTATAGCTATTCATTCTCTCCCATACTAGATTCCATATATGACCTTGTTATTCTAGAATTTAGTGGTTCCATTTCCTTTCTGTTCTGCTTTGTAATGTCCACTAATATGCTATAATCTTATTATTCATTTTCTTGATAAATTGTTTTATAGAATCATTTAAAGTTTTGTTCTGCCACTTGATTTCTGTA